CCGCTGCCACTGTACCAGTCCCTCTCCTTGGGGGTCTTCCTCTTTTTCTCTGACCTTCCACTTTACCTAGCATGATGTCCTTCTCCAGCAACTGATCCCTCCTGACAATATGCCTGAAGTGTGAGAGACGAAGTTTGGTCATCCTGATCCCCAAGGAGCACTCTGGATGCCCTTCTTCCAAAATGGATCTGTTGGTTCTTTTGGCAGCCCACGGCACTTTCAGTATTCTCCTCCAACACTGTAACTCAAAAGCATCAATTCTTCTATGATCTTCCTTATTTATTGTCTAAATGTCACATGTATATTGTTGTTGTGATGTGTCATTAAGTTGGTTCCGACCCACAGCGACCTTGTATAGGGTTTCCAAGACTATTAAGCTATTGAGAATATCAGGGGCACTTTAGTCCTCAAGCTGACAACTTTGGTTTTTAACATCCTACAGAGAGGTCTTGTGCAGCGGGTGTTAGTTGGGAGGAAGTCTCATCTTCCAAGGCAGCACGTAAAGGCGGCTCATGTTTGGAGGGCGCGGTCTGTGGGGCTGCTGTGAATCCGAAAGGACACGGCAGTGACAGCAGCCTTGGGGTCAGGGCCATCGTCTAGGTGCGTTCTCTCCTAGCACGCGCACCCTCGCTGCTCTAGACTTAGGTCAGGAGGGCGCAGAATGACACGGGTTGAGGGAATGGGCACAGACCCACCGTCCACCCCTGGCCTGGGCCAGCTGTTTCACTCTTGGGCCCCAGTTTCCTCGTTCACAGAGGGGCTTCATGATGGCAGACTAGAAAGTTCTACCCCGCCCACTGCTGCTGAGTTGGTCCTCACTCACAGCGACTCTGTAAGATGGACCAGAACAGCTCTCTAGGGTTTCCAAGACTGCAGATCTTCAGGGGAACAGACAGCCTCATTTTTCTCACAGGGAGCGGCTGGTGGGCTCCCTAGGAGGGCACCTAATGACCACTCACAGGCCTCAGGTGTTATTATCCCCTAACTTGGAGACCAGGGACGGGCTTGTGGCTACGTTCTTGGTTTGTTCAGCAGTCTCTAGGAGGAGGTAGGGAGCTAGCCGATGAAATCCAGATTTGCTTGATGTGCGATGGGCTCAGCAGGTCAGCTGGAATCTTCTCTTGGCCTCTGTCGCTGGGGTAACTTTTGGAAATTAAAATTATACTTAAAAATAAAGCTTTTAAGACTTGGGAAAAACGTGCATTTCTGTGGCTAGAGACTGAAGGTTAATAGGCAGGAAATTGAACTGCTTAGCTTGGTGAGATTATAGTGTTTTTTTCTTTCTTCAGACTTCTATTTACATATCAAATCTAAGCAAAAAACGAAAACC